TATTTTAAGTTTTAATATCTCACAAATACAATTAAAACACTAAATATAATCATCACACTAACACTACCACAAACACTGTCTGGTCATTACCCTAGATTTTATCTCCAGTTTTGCTGTTTACTAAAAAGCAAGGTGGAAAGACAACTTTTTTATGTCTATGGAGAGGTGCTGTAAATACATAATTGTAACCATGGTCATGTTTGATTGGATTGTTAAAACATCTGGAAAATAAAGAAATCTTGAAGTGAGTGGGAGCAGGGTTCAAATAACTGGTATTGAAATTGCACTGTTATGAGCAATCACATCAGATTAACGTTTGCTGGCCACGGTTAGAGTAAATTAATGAGAAAATTAAAATACATAAGCTACAAAGAACACACAGCCGAGCACAGTACAGGCTAAGTATTCCTCCGCCCAAACATCTACACCACTCAACAGCAAGTAGTTCTGTGTTACTGTAAGTACATTAAGTAAATGATTATACACACATTTTTTCTATTTCAAAGGTTATTATGTCATGTAAGTATGAGTATAATTAAGTCACATTTTGCATGTATGGCCACCTGTACTTGGGCTTTCTCCCACCTATTAAAGACTGACTTCCAAAATCCTGGGTTGTAGATTAAAATCCTAGCTGTGAACACTGTATTGGAGGACAAGGTGCTTTATCCAAACACAACCGTAAAAATGTGTACTATGATTGTATATACAAAAAGGTAATTGCAGATCATTAAATTTATCAACCGCCACCAAATGTATCAAAGTAGAACAGTTTTCTGCATAAGGTACATTGGAGATTCATAAGGAAAACACATTTTTTTCAACACAAGATAACAAGAAACCCTGTTTGTCTTCACCTAAATAGTTACTAATGTATTTTGCTGATCACTTTTAATCAAAGTTGGGCACAAGAGTATTCATTCATCCAGGATTTGAAAATGCATGCTTCCAGTTCCCTATCTAGACTCTCAACCACTTCTCCAAACTCCCACTCTAGCTTGTTGACAAACAAGCTCTTTACCTGGTATTCCTTCAGTTTTCTTGTAATATAAATACTGTAGGTGTATTTGTATGATTTAATGCATTTAGTACTTTCAATGAGTACTGTTTGCCTAAGGTCTTGCTATGCACGTGAAAGAAGCCTAATCCCAGCAGACATAAAAAAAGGAAAAAACTGGGACAGAAAAATGGCACCTACCTTGACAGAGAAAAGCTGTGTTCTGCAATGATAGTAGCGTATGCATGATGCTAAGGCAGTGCAAATAAATCAGTCAATGCTGATCTGAACTTCAAGGTACAGTTATACGCTACAACAAATAAAAACGAATAGAAAGTCCCACAGAGGCAGGACACACTTAATATTAATTCATTTAACAGTCATTTTGCTGTTAGCGACATACGCGTAGCTCCTAGCCTTTTCCATCCTGTGGCAGGTTTTGCCCAAGTAAGGCAAAACAATTACTGTCATCTGTCAGCTTTAATAGATTTTATTTCCAGATGGGCTTGTTGGCTGCTCATTTTCCATTTGCTCCTAGAATAATCTAACTTTCAAGTGAACATACATTATTGAGACATAATACTCTGCAAGCTATATTGATTGACTGCTGCTTAGATCTTTGGAGTATCTGAAATATTTATCACAGCAGCAAAACTCTTGGACAAAACACACGTGATAGTGTAACACTTTGTTTCCTCAATGTGGTAAAGACGTCGTATCATGGTGTCCAATACCCATTCAAAAAGTTTCTTTAATTTTTGCATAAAAATAAAAACATGTTTTCTTTTGTCATTGTTCTTTTTTATATTTCATTATCTCTAAGAAAGTAGTACTTGCCATTTTCCAGAATCTTGGCCTGGCTTTTGTATTTTCATCGAGAAGAGACAAAGTTGAAAGGCTTACAGATATATCACATAGAAAAGCAGCTCAGGATTTCATTTATTAGTCCAACATTTCAATATTATCAAGGACCAACACTGTTATAACAGTTTTGTTAGTATACCTAGTAGATAATGATAAGAAATATACTTGCTGTATTAAATACTTTTGCTTTTTCATTTCTATATGAACAACAAGTCTCTTTACTCCAAAAATACTGATCTATTTGGAGAAATGGAGTTGTGGCACTTTTCATTGGGGGCACTCACGAGCACCCATTGTTTAAAAATGGGATACCCTAGAGACGTCACCTCAGTAAGCAAGTAACCCCTTGCTTAGAACGAACTTCTCTGAAGGGAATTACCCTCAATTCTTTGCAGAATGGTGACATTTCATGTTCTAGCCAATCAAAGCGGAGAGAAGTTGCCATAGAGTATAAAATATTCAAGTGGTATCCACCATTTCCCTTCTTATCAGCAGTAATGAGCTCCCCCAGGAGGCGAACCGGCTCATCATGGAACATCCACAGGTATCTCAATTTTACCTCCTCCCCAAAATCCACAAACCGGACACCCCTGGACGCCCCATCATATCAGCATGTAACTGTCCAACTACTTACATCTCAGCCTTTCTC